ATTTTGTTAACCGTCTATTCAAATAGTAAATCGCACTTTCTTCACCAAATTGGTCTTGTGCGCAACCATTCCAGCTATTGATTCTTATTCAGCCAATAAGTACACTTTCATTGACCGTCTTTAGATTGGTGACACCGATACTGATGGACTCGATAGATGTCTTCAGGCATCCAAAAGTCTCTTGATGCTCTTCTTTTCAGACGAATTCGTCCTGATTTTTCAACTTTAAAAGAGGCGAAAAAACTTTCGTTTGCCCTACACAATTAGAGATAAAACATCTTTAAAAGTTTACTTGACCTAAAAATCTTTGCAATTCTTTTTGTTGCTTGGAGGTTTGGCCTAAAAAATGGTCTTCACTTTATTCTTATCAAATTCAATCCCCCTTTTGTGTATTAGAAAATCAAGGAAATTTCCCGCATTAACACCAGATGCACATTTCAAATGATTCAATTTTAGTTTGTATTGTCTCATTCGCTCAAATGATCGTTTTAGTTGTTCAAAATTGTCTTCCTCTTTAATAGATTGACCACTATATCGTCTACATACACTTCAACAAACTTGCCTATCATATCATGAAAAATCAAGTTCATTGCCCTTTGATAAGTTGCCCCAACATTTTTCAGGCCGAAATGTATAACTACCCATTCAAAGCATCCTAAAACTCACAGGCATCTAAAGACAGTTTTGTGTATATTTTTTTTCAGCTATGTAAATTTGGTTGAATCCTGAATATCCATCCATAAAAGAATACATCACATGTCCGACAGTTGAATTTACTAAAGAGTCTACCGTATGCATTGGATATTCATCTTTGGGTGTTGCTAAGTTTAAATTTCTAAAATTTATGCATACCCTTAACTTATCATTCTTTTTAAACACTGGCACGATATTAGACAATCATTCGACATATCTGGACGTCCTAATAAAACCTGTTTTTAACAATCGCTCTATCTCTTTCAAAATTTCTGGAAGTACATTAGAGGCAAAACGTCTAGGAGGTTGTTTATGAAGCTTAAAATTTGGTTTAGTTGGTAATCTATGTTCTATCAAATTCTTATCCGAACTAGACATATGTTCATATTTCTAACAAAAACAATCTTTGTACTCTTTTAACAAAGCGATTAATTTACTATTAACCTCCTGATTAAGCATTTGGCTGACAAATATTGGGCGATCTTTTCCTTTGTAGCCAATATTTACCCTACTCAAAAGGTATTGTGCTTGAGCGTGCCCAGGCTTTGTGATACTCATTACTTCGTCGTCCAAGTTCCTCGTAAGCACTTCCTCTTCTAAACAAACCACCTTGTTGGCTTCTCGGTCAATATTCAGCTCCAACTCGAACACTACTAATTTGTTTTCCAATACTTTTAATGTTGTTTCTTCTTTCGTCTTGTCTTTACATTCTTTATTGAAAGCTATTAACTTGGTTTTGAAGGCCTGAATATCGGCAATTTGCCCTTGTTGCTGACAATTCATTTAAAATTCTTTGATTACCCTTTTGCCAATTACTAACTCTTCCAGGGCCACTATGTTTGGCATCATTTGACTGAACATTTCAGTAAATGCATCTACAGAAAATGGTTCTTCACTCAGTGTGACAATTTAAATCTCTTCTTTATCTTGAATCACCCGACAGGTCTATAGTTTTCTTCGTACAATAACCTTTCCACTGAGTGTGCTTCTGCGACAAAGGGTCTATGATCTGACTGCACCACTTTTACTTCGCCCTTGTCATTCCAGAAAATCAGGCATGGTGGAGCGATGAAGGTATGCAACGACTTTCGTGAATCGAGTCCCTTCCCAGTAACACATTGTAACTAGTAGGACCATCTATTACAAAGAAGACTGTGGTCCTAGTAGTTGTTCCCATGGTTATGTCTAGTGACATCACTCCTTTAGCCTAAATTTCTCCCCCATTGAAACTTGTGAGAATGACTTCTGTTGGGATCATATCACTTTCTATCTTTACAAATTTTCTCATCATCCTGGATGGGATGGTATTTACGGCTGCTCCATTATCAATAAGCACTTTCGCTACAGGTATACCATTGACTAAGGCCTTTACGTACAATGTCCTTAAATGTTTAGTTAATTTCATGGCTGGTCTCTTGAAGATGACCTTTTCAGCGACATCTATTTCCATTTCTTGTTTGTCTTCCGTTAAATTATTTTCTTATAATAAATCAACATGCAATATTTCGCACTGAGCTTTTGTTTCCTGGATTTCATTTCTACCTTCTCCTAGTGCTCTTCTTCGGTTACCCATCCTGTAGGGGGGGCAATATCTTTGGAGGTGACCCATACTTCTCAGAGCGAGGCACTCTCATCTTCCTTTTGGATATCCCGTACACTACATATTAGTCAAAGGAAGGCCCCGATGGTTCTCCCAACAGATCCATCTCGCGAACGCCTTCCCGATGTAGCTATTTTAACAACGTATTGCGCGACACTCCCCTCTTTCTTCTCTCTGCTTCCAAGTCAATTTCTTCTTCGATGTCTGTCATACCATCATCCTCTTCTTCATAATATGCCCCTCTAGATGTTTGGCCAT